ACCTTCTCCATCATATGTGCCAATTACACTGCTTCATGTGCAGGAATTGACATCGTCTGATATACTCACCATATCCGTGATCAAGTAATCCGAGTAAGTGTAGATATAAACAGTTTCTTGTTAACTTGGACCAGATACATTGCATTTTCCTTGCCGAACTAAGCTGGAAATTCGTGCTTCGAACATGGTGCCATCAGTGGCAGTAACGAGTTATGTCTCTCGTATGTCCCTCCTATTGACCAATCAGATTTTCACCTCTCCTTTCACTTGCATCTACTTTAAATAAAATGACGGAGACCATTGTAATACAAGGGTCATCAGAAAGATGACATATCCCTCCGGCAGCTGTCTGTAAAGTAACCACAAGTAAATGTGCAATTCTGTATGTAATAAGTCAAGAATGTTCTTTAAGAAGCATACATTGTTTACCAACAAAAGATCCACCATGGTCGCATTCATATGAAATGGAAAGTAAAACGTGTGTTTCTGTGGGTTTTTTTTATGCAAACAAATGACAAATTACAAGAAACAAGCGTATAGTCAACGAAGTCATCTATATCCCCCACCCATATTAACACGTTATGGTCCCAAACCAGGCAAGGAAATATTTAACAGTTTATTTGTTATACTCCATAAGTGAACCCACCCTATATGAAAACTTAAATCCAACTTGTTGCCATGGAAACGTAAAAATTAAAAAAATTAAAATTCCTAATTAGCAAAAGGCACCAGTTCAGTATGTGCCTGGTAGACATGCAAAGTTTTGTAAGAAAGTATTTAATGTTTTTTGAGTTACGCTCCGGAAACAAACACCACCCTTATAGAACCTTGTCCAACTTGTTACCATGGAAACACAAAAACTAAAAATTTATAATATTCCTAAATAGCAAAAAGCACAGGTTCAGTATGTGCCTGGTAGACATGCAAAGTTTTGTAAGAAAATATTTAACGTTTTTTGAGTAACGCTCCGGAAACGAACATCACCCTTATAGAACCAACTTGTTACCATGGAAACGTAAAAAATAAAAATTTATAATATTCCTAAATAGCAAAAAGCACCAGTTCAGTATGTGCCTGGTAGACATGCAAAGTTTTGTAAGAAAGTTTGAATGGGTTTTGAGTTATGCTCCGGAAACGAACTCTACCCTATAGAACCAACTTGTTACCATGGAAACGTAAAAAATAAAAATTTCTAAAATTCCTTAATAGCAAAAGGCACAACTTCAGTATGTGACTGATAGATATGCCAAGTTTCGATCAAATACACTGAATTATTTTCGAGTTCTGCCCTGGAAAAGGAAACGATTACGGACGGACGGACGGACGGGCAGACAGACTGGCTGATCGCTATATCCCCCCGCATTATATGCCGGGGGGATAAAAAATGGGTCTTACCTCGCAAAGTACATCAAATCACCTTGAACAAAAGCCTCAAAACATTTAGAAAACAACTCTCGACGCCCAGATGAAAGTACACATTCTCTGCAAATCCTGCTATCGACTGACATCTGCATGGCAGTCGCCATGTTGTGTATGAACCCAATATTGATTTTATTCCACAATTTTGATTGGACAACGCATAGACTCTTTAGTTCAGCCAGAATAGAACTCCATTATTCCAGCTTAGTTTAGCAAAGGTGTAAACTGGACTTTTAAAAAAAATTCACTTAACTCCCTTGCATCAGGAAGATGCCGAGAAGATGCTTGTGAACACAACTGAGTTGTCGTTCAACTGGAAGGTGTTAGCGGGTGTTTATAGTAGGAATATGAGCCATGAAACATAAAACACCCCTCAACACCTCAAAGCTGCCGAGTTATCAGGAGGTACACATGGACACCATCAGGAACTTGGAAGTGGATGATCGTTACACACAAAACCAGATCCTGAACACACCAGCATGTTCAGTTGTAATCTTTTCCTTTTGCAGGAGATGCGCAGATTTCCTAAATACTTTGTTCAGTTTGGGGATAGGACAATGTATCCCGAAATAAAGTTCAGTTTCCACCCTTGCCAAACTAGGCTGGAATTATGGACTTGTATTTTGGCTGGACGAACGAGACTTAGTGTAGTCCAAACAAAATTGTGGAACGAAATTAACATTTTGTTCATAAACAACATGGTGACTGCCTTGCAAATTTCAGTCGATTGCAGGATTTGCAGAACTTGTGTACTTTCAACTGGCCATCAATAGATATTTTCCATGTCTCATGTTTTTAATCAAGGTGCTCAAGTGATTTGATGTACTCTGCAAGGTAAGACCTATTTTATTACAACAAGAGTTTGCCACTAACGTGGCTATATCCCCCGCCCCTGTTGCAGAATTTATGACATAATTAAATCTAAACAAACCCTAACCTTTTTTAACCGAGGTGGAACTTGTCATGGAAATTGTAAAAAAAAGATCTGGGAACCTAAGTCCATCTTGCTGCCATGGAAATGTAAAAAAATAAAAATTTCTAAATAGCAAAAGGCACCAGTTCAGCAGGTACCTGACAAACCTGCAAAGTTTCATGAAAAAATGTTGAAAGGTTTCTGAGTTATGCTCAGGAAACGAAACTTGACGGACGGACGGATGGATCCCGTTTCTATATCCCCCGTCCAACAAAGTTGGGGGATAATAAAGATCGTGATTAACGGTCAGATTGTCTGGACTGGGCGCATGCAGTCATTTTGTTTGAGGAAAAAACAAGTGAAAGGAGAGGTGGAATCTGATTGGTCAATAGGAGGGACATAGAAGGGACATAACTCGTAACTGCAAGGGTGGAAACTTGACTTTTATAGTCAGTTAACTCACTTTCCTCAGGAAGATACAATGTATCTTGTCCAAGTTAACATGAAACTGTTTACATCTACATTTACTCGGATAACTTGATCACGAATATGGTGAGTATATCAGAGGGTGTCAATTCCTGCACATGAAGCAGTGTAATTGGCACATATGATGGAGAAGGTAACCTGTTATCACACTTGAAGAGGAAACAGCATCTTGTCAATTTAAGAATGTATTCAATAACTTCCATAACATGCCGATCAATTCACATGTGTGTGTAACCCTCTTTGAAGTTTTGTTGGATAGTTGACGGACAAATACCAATGAAATGTAGGCACCAACATGACAGTTGTTCAAGTGAGATATAGAGTAGAAACTATAATGTTATACACTAAAAAATCATTCCTATAGAACAAATTATTATAAACCGAGGCAGGTGGGAAGAGACTCACTCTGCCATTGAAATTACATTGTGGAGGAGCCCTGGTTTATTCAAGTCGTTGTCAACACCCCTTTATGGGACTCCCTCCACGGTCGAAATTACGTGGAGGGACCCTGAGGTGATGTCAAGTCATGAACACACCTTCATGGAACTCCCTCCACCGTTGAAATACAATGTGGAGGGACCCTGATGTGTTGATGACTTGAATGTAAATAACAGCAACAAAATCAATTCCATAATCATAAGAAATCTCTACTAAAAGAAGAGTCCATTTCATATTTCAGACCATATCAAAAGCATGTGTTTATGAATCACTAAATACATACAATCAATTCTGCTTTTAGTAAAGATTTTGTGCGATTATGAAATGGTTTTTGTGGCTTTCATTTACAAACAGACCAGGTTGTAGCGAAACAAAAACAAAACAACCAATTCCACTATGGATTGGATGTGTGAAATTTCATCGTCGCCAACTTGTTGGTTGCAATAGAGGCTGGCTGCAACTGAGGCTGGTTACTTGTGACAACAGAGGCTGATGGCTGGTTGCAACTCAGGTTGGCAGCGGATGTCAGCAACTAAGGCCGGTGGCAACTGTGACAGCATGGTAACAGAGACAGGTGGAAACTGAGGTGGTGGCTGGTGGCAATTGAGGCTGGTGGTTGGTGATAACTAAGGCTGTGGCTGGTGATAACTGAGGCTGTGGCCAGTGACAACTGAGGGTGGTGGCTGGTGATAACTGAGGCTGTAACAACTGAAGCTTCTGGCAACTGAGGCCGGCGGCAAATGAGGCTGCTGGCAACTGAAGCTGGTGGCAACTGAGGGAAGTGGCAAAAGAGGCAACTGAGGCCGATGGCAGCTAAGGCTGGTGGCAACTGAGGCCGGTGGCTGGTTGCAACTCAGGTTGGCGGCAAATGAGGCTGTCCGCAACTGAGGCTGGTGGCAACAGAAACAGGATGGCAACAAAGACAGATGGGAACTGAGGCGGTGGCTGGTTGCAACTGAGGATGGCAGCTGGCAGCAACTGAGGAGGGTGGCAATTGAGGCCGGTGGCAACTGAGGCTAGTGGCTACTGTGGCCAGTGGCAACTGAGGCAGGTGGCAAATGAGGCCGGTGGCAACAGAGACAGGATCGCAACCGAGGCTGATGGGAACTGAGGCGGTGGCTGGTTGCAACTGAGGATGGCAGCTGCTAGAAACTGAGGCAGGTGGGATGAGACTCACTCCGCCATTGAAATAACATTGTGGAGGAGCCCTGGATCATTCAAGTCGTTGTCAACACCCCTTTATGGGACTCCCTCCACGGTCGAAATTACGTGGAGGGACCCTGAGGTGATGTCAAGTCATCAACACACCTTCATGGAACTCCCTCTACCGTTGAAATACAATGTGGAGGGACCCTGATGTGTTGATGACTTGAATGTAAATAACAGCGACAAAATCAATTCCAAATCATAAGAAATCTCTACTAAAAGAAGAGTCCATTTCATATTTCAGACCATATCAAAAGCATGTGTTTATGAATCACTAAATACATACAATCAATTCTGCTTTTAGTAAAGATTTTGTGTGATTATGAAATGGTTTTTGTCGCTTTCATTTACATACAGACCAGGTTGTTGCAAAACGAAAATCATACTTTCCAAACATTGATACAGATTTAAAACAACCAATTCAACTATGGATCGGATGTGTGAAATTTCATCATCGTCAACTGAGGTTGGCTGCAACTGAGGCTGGGGGCAACTGAGGCCGGTTACTTGTGGCAATTGAGCTCAGGCAGGTGGCAACTCAGGCAGGTGGCAACTGAAGCCGGTGGCAACTGAGGCTGGTGGCAACTGAGGTGGTGGCAATTGAGGGAGGTGGCAACTGAGGTGGTGGCAATTGAGGCCGGTGGCAACTGAAGGAGGTGGCAACTGAGGTGATGGCAATTGAGGCCGGTGGCAACTGAGGCTGTGGCAACTGAGGCTGTGGCAACTCAGGTCGGTGGGAACTGAGGCTTGTGGCAACTGAAGTGGTGGCAACTGGTGCTGGTGGCACCTGAGGGAGGTGGCCACTGAGACCGGTGGCAACTGAGGGAGGCGACAACTGAGGCCGGTGGTAACTGAGGAAGGCGACAACTGAGGTGGTGGCAACTGAAGCCGGTGGCAACTGAGGTGGTGGCAACTGATGCTGGTGGCAACTGATGCTGGTGGCAACTGAGGCCAGTGGCAACTGAGGTGGTGACAACTGATGCTGGTGGCAACTGAGGCTAGTGGCTACTGTGGCCAGTGGCAACTGAGGCAGGTGGCAAATGAGGCCGGTGGCAACAGAGACAGGATCGCAACCGAGGCTGATGGGGACTGAGGCGGTGGCTGGTTGCAACTGAGGATGGCAGCTGCTAGAAACTGAGGCAGGTGGGAAGAGACTCACTCCGCCATTGAAATAACATTGTGGAGGAGCCCTGGATCATTCAAGTCGTTGTCAACACACCTTCATGGAACTCCCTCCACCGTCGAAATACAATGTGGAGGGACCCTGATGTGTTGATGACTTGAATGTAAATAACAGCGACAAAATCAATTCCAAAATCATAAGAAATCTCTACTAAAAGAAGAGTCCATTTCATATTTCAGACCATATCAAAAGCATGTGTTTATGAATCACTAAATACATACAATCAATTCTGCTTTTAGTAAAGATTTTGTGCGATTATGAAATGGTTTTTGTCGCTTTCATTTACATACAGACCAGGTTGTTGCAAAACGAAAATCATACTTTCCAAACATTGATACAGATTTAAAACAACCAATTCAACTATGGATCGGATGTGTGAAATTTCATCATCGTCAACTGAGGTTGGCTGCAACTGAGGCTGGGGGCAACTGAGGCCGGTTACTTGTGGCAATTGAGCTCAGGCAGGTGGCAACTCAGGCAGGTGGCAACTGAAGCCGGTGGCAACTGAGGCCAGTTACTTGTGGCAATTGAGCTCAGGCAGGTGGCAACTGAGGCCGGTGGCAACTAAGGCTGGTGGCAACTGATGCTGGTGACAACTGAGGCTGGTGGCAACTGAGGTGGTGGCAATTGAGGCCAGTGGCAACTGAGGGAGGTGGCAACTGAGGTGGTGGCAACTCAGGCTGTGGCAACTCAGGCCGGTGGGAACTGAGGCTTGTGACAACTGAAGTGGTGGCAACTGAGACTGGTGGCAACTGAGGGAGGCTACAACTGAGGCCAGTGGTAACTGAGGGAGGCGACAACTGAGGTGGTGACAACTGAGGCCGGTGGCAACTGAGGTGGTGGCAACTGAGGTGGTGGCAACTGAGGTGGTGACAACTGAGGTGGTGACAACTGAGGCCGGGGCAACGGAGGCCGGTGGCAACTGAGGTGGTGGCAACTGAGGTGGTGACAACTGATGCTGGTGGCAACTGAGGTGGTGACAACTGAGGCCGGTGGCAATTGAGGTGGTGACAACTTAGGGTGGTGACAACTGAGGTGGTGACAACTGAGGTGGTTGCAACTGAGGTGGTGGCAACTGAGGTGGTGGCAACTGAGGTGGTGACAACTAAGGTGGTGGCAACTGAGGTGGTGGCAACTGAGGCCGGTGTCAACTGAGGTGGTGACAACTGAGGCCGGTGGCAACTGAGGTGGTGGCAACTGAGGGAGGTGGCAACTGAGGGAGGTGGCAACTGAGGGAGGTGACAACTGAGGGAGGAGGCAACTGAGGTGGTGACAACTGAGGCCGGTGGCAACGGAGGTGGTGGCAACTGAGGCCGGTGGCAACTTAGGTGGTGACAACTGAGGCCGGTGGCAACTGAGGCCGGTGGCAACTGAGGTGGTGACAACTGAGGGAGGCGACATCTGAGGTGGTGACAACTGAGGGTGGTCACAACTGAGGGAGGCGGCAACTGAGGGAGGTGGCAACTGAGGTGGTGACAACTGAGGGAGGCAGCAACTGAGGGAGGCAACATCTGAGGTGGTGACACCTGAGGGAGGAGGCAACTGAGGGAGGCGACAACTGAGGGAGGCGACAACTGAGGTGGTGACAACTGAGGGTGGTGACAGCTGAGGGAGGTGGCAACTGAGGGAGGCGACAACTGAGGGAGGCGACAACGGAGGGAGGTGGCAACTGAGGGAGGCGACAACTGAGGTGGTGACAACCGAGGGAGGCGACAACCGAGGGTGGCAACAACGGAGGGAGGTGACAACTGAGGGAGGTGGCAACTGAGGGAGGTGACAACTGAGGAAGGTGGCAACTGAGGGAGGCCACAACTGAGGTGTTGCAACTGAGGTGGTGACAACTGAGGGAGGCCACAACTGAGGTGTTGCAACTGAGGTGGTGGCAACTGAGGGAGGTGGCAACTGAGGGAGGTGGCAACTGAGGTGGTGACAACTGAGGGAGGCGGCAATTGAGGTGGTGACACCTGAGGGAGGAGGCAACTGAGGGAGGCGACAACTGAGGGAGGCGACAACTGAGGTGGGGACAACTGAGGGTGGTGACAGCTTAGGGAGGCGACAACTGAGGGAGGCGACAACTGAGGGAGGCGACAACGGAGGGAGGTGGCAACTGAGGGAGGCGACAACTGAGGTGGTGACAACTAAGGGAGGCGACAACTGAGGGTGGCGACAACTGAGGGAGGTGACAACTGAGGGAGGTGGCAACTGAGGTGGTGACAACTGAGGAAGGTGGCAACTGAGGGAGGCCACAACTGAGGTGTTGCAACTGAGGTGGTGACAACTGAGGGAGGTGACAACTGAGGGAGGTGACAAATGAGGGAGGTGGCAACTGAGGGAGGTGACAACTGAGGGAGGTGACAACTGAGGGAGGTGGCAACTGAGGGAGGCGACAACTGAGGTGGTGGCAACTGAGGGAGGCGGCAACTGAGGGAGGCAGCAACTGAGGGAGGTGACAACTGAGGGAGGTGGCAACTGAGGGAGGTGGCAACTGAGGGAGGCGACAACTGAGGAGGCAACTGAGGCTGGTGGCAACTGAGGCTGTGCCAACTGAGGCTGGTGGCAACTGAGGTTGTGTTTGGTTAGAACTGAGGCAGGTTGCTGGTGGCAACTGAGGCTGTGGTTGGTACCAACTGAGACAGGTTACTTGTTTCAACTGAGGTTGGGGGCTGGCAGCAACAGTTGTTGTTTAACGCCGCATTCAGCAATATTCCAGCTATATGACGGTGGTCTGTACATAAGAGTCTGGACCAGACAATACAGGGATTGACAACATGAGCAGTTTGTGATCATAATGGCAAATCAAAATGTGGTGTCTGAGGTTAGGTTTGGGTCTTAACTATTCTCTGCTGGAGTTTCCTCATGCTGGTGATAAGATATGACTTCTGTGCAAATGGAACTAAAGACTGTATGTTTTTCCCTAATTGAGGTCAGTATCTTTAGGGGGTGATTCTCTGACTGGCTTTGTGATGAAGGATAATGATGATGTGTCTCGATGCTTCACTTCGAACAGTATCTTCAGACCATGACGCAACTTTTGTGACATTTGGAGGAGCAACATTTGCTGTGATAGAAAGAAATGAGAAATACCAAGTGTTTTATTCCCAAGTGTTTTATTTTTCTCGGAACATTGAAGGATTACAAGTCCCTGATGGTACTAGCATTCTCATCCAGTACACAAGCCTGCAACAGGTCCATGACAACTGTTTGAATCTTGCACGCTCAATGAACCTAACTGCAGAGACACAATTTGAAGTCACGAGCATGAGAATTACCACTGGGGTTGAGGCACATGACATTACTTTTGACATTTAGTCTGACAATACAAGTGATACCAAGGAAAATAAGCATGAAATACTCACATCCCCCGCCAATAAAACATGTCGGGTGTGTGCAATGCATTAGCCCCTGTGAACTATGTTCACTGGGCCTTTTTGTAAAGAAATATACTACGTTTTTCAAGATCTGCTCCGGGAACGAGGACTACCGCCATTTTCAGTCTAAATCAAAGTCGTTGCCATGGAAACTCGAAAAATAACTTTTAAAAAAAATCCAAAACTATCCAAAGGCACCAGTTCACCACTAGACCTATCAATGTGCAAATATGTTGAAGAAAAATGGTACAGTTTTCAAGATCTGCTCCGGAAACGAGGACTACAGCCATTTTCAGTCTAAATCAAAATCGTTGCCATGGAAACTCAATAAATATTGTTTTTAAAAATCCCAAACTATCAAAAGGCACCAGTTCACCACTAGACCTATCTATGTGCCAAGTATGGTGAAGAAATATGGTACGGTTTTCAAGATCTGCTCCAGAAACGAGGACCACCGCCATTTTCAGTCTAAATCAAAGTCATTGCCATGGAAACTCGAAAAACATTGATTTAGTCTGTTTTCAGTCGTACAAATGGGTATCTCTCATACCCTCACGTCTAGTCGCACGTTAAAAAGGAAGCCAGAAGCTGGAATGTAAACATTAAACTTGTTTCCGTCCGGTTGCGCACGCACCTCCCTATGACATGTTACAAATCTCTCAGCGCGCCTCTGAGCTGGTCGCTCGAGAAAGGCTTTCGCGGTAGAAAACTGCTAGTTTGTATTATAAAGCTAGTACTTATGGCTTGTCTACAGTTGTTGTTTTAATAAAGTAATAATACATATGTCTTCCCTGTAGACTCCTGGAATGTTATCCTTGGTCATCCATTGTTTGTCTTTAACACGTGTTTTCACAGTTTGACTTGATTATACACGTGGCAACATGTCGGGCATTTGTGCCTCGTATCAAAGAAAACTGTCTAAAGTAGACCCTCACAAGTATTGTCCTTCCTGCATCATTAAGGACGTGTTTCAACGTGTTTGTGGGATAAACGTTGTAAAGAATGTGAGCACTTGTCTGAACTTTAACTTGTATCTTCGTGCGTTGGCGAAGCAGACTGCTGACCAACGCTACAAGCAGAGGAGGTCATCGGGTGGATCATTGGACTCTGCACCCTCCACATCAGGCCCTGGGGGTGGCTAGTCGGCCACACCCATGGCATCAGTTGATAAAGACCCGTCTCACAACTTCTGTTTTCGACAAGACACTTGACCGTTCGCCTGCTGATGATACTACCCGCACGACTGATCTTCGTCAATCGGTTGATCGAGAGCGTCACTTAGCCTCCCCAGTTACGACTGGACCGGGTTCTGACGAGGACCATGACGGGACTATGGTCCCCAGTCGGTCCGTATCTCGTTCTACCAACGACGATAGGGACGACAGTGGACACAGAAGTCGTTCCCGTTCAAGTCGGGACGACAGGTCGAGTGCCTCGTCGAGAGACAGTACACGACATGAGGGCGTTCATCGCCTTCGTGATCGTCGGGAGTCCGATTCTGACGATAACTACGATGGGGATCGTAGTACTTCTACAGTTAGAGTTCGTAGCCCTCGTCCCCACGGGGACATGCGACGTTTTCGCAGGGAGTTTCTGGGAGTTCAGTGTCGTAGTGAAGATAATGACAGAACGACACCCTCGTCTCACTTTCATATCGACCCGGCTTTGATAGCCCAGATCATGGCGGCGGTCCTCGCCTCGACGGCGTCGACCAAAAAGGATTCGACTGCGTCGGGGGTCCATGGACAGTCAACCAGTACACCAGCTCCTTCATCTACACCTCCACAATCGACGTCGACGATGGATTGTGACGACAGCCTCTCGGTTGTCCTCGCCTAGTCCCGATATGTATTGGGCCAGATTACTACGGCACATCGCCATGGTTACATCGACTGCACTGAACTACCTGATCGTCATGGCAGGACACTGTAACAGGCCCCGTGGTCATCGCAACAGTTGTTTGACGGTCATACCAACGAAGTTCTGGACAAGTACTCAAGGGAAGCCAAGCGTGACATCATCATTTCGGCTTCATACAACCTGTCCAGACGGCCACCGGTTTCGAACGCCCCACGACGACTTTACAGACCGAGAATGTACGTGCCTTCATGGTTGAAGATCAGTCACGTAACATCCGACTGTCGGCCTGTCATTCTGCGCAACCTGTCTAGTCAGGCTTACGAGCCTCTCGATAAGGTCACGTTCGACTTATTGTCTCAGAAAAGGGCTTTCCTTCTCTCGCTGGCTACGGCCGCGAGAGTATGGGAACTACATGCCATTGACGTTGGTCGGATTACGTTCTATCAGCGTGATCATGGCAACGTCCATCTTGGTCTCAGATGGGATTTTTAAGCGAAAAATCAACTTCCTGGCCAAGATTCGAGAATGTTCCACATTCCTTCCTTGTCTGCCATTATTGGCCCTCATGATCACGCTGATCTCACCCTGCGCCCAGTTCATCCGCTTCCTATATACCTGCAGCGATCTGAACAGCGACGACAACATTTTCGACGGCTGTTCATACCGCTCTCAACCAATGCAAAGAAAGAGATTACACGTAATACTCTCTCTGAGCGGTCATTCTCAGAGCTTAGGAGGCGCAAGGGCTCGCACCTACCACCTCCTCTCATCCGCACGAAGTTCGAGCCAAAGCTTCAACATCAGCACTCCACAGTGCACTCTATTATATGGAGGGCTGCTTTTGCAGATCTACTTCAGTATTTGATTCGCATTATCTCAGAGATATTTCAACAGAAGATGTTGAAGGACTCAAACAGTTTGGCCAACTCGTGGTTGCACAACAGATCTCCCAGAAAAGACAGTGAATTTGTGCTTTATTCACTTTGGACTTTTTGCTCGACACTTCGTGCCAGATAACAGGTTACAATAAAAACTGTTGGTGAATGTACGCATTCTTATGTTTTTATGTTGTGTGCAGTACTTTGGCTTTTTTATTATGGTTATTCGGTGTATGCATCGTCTTCCCATACTTGATAGTACTGCTCGTATTTTTGAGTTACCTTGTATACTGCGAGTTGCTCTGTAACTAAATTATGCGCCGACCACACTTCGATCGCAGTTAAACTGACGCGTGCAGTTGTCCTGTCGCATTGATAATTAGTTGTGTGTTGAAGAGCATTAACCATGCCATTTTTAGTTACCTTGTCTACGGCGAGTTGTTCTGTAACTAAATTATACGCCTACCACACCGCGATCGCAATTCAACTGACGTATGCAGTTGTCCTGCCGAATCGATAATTAGTTGTGTGTCGAAGAGCATTAAACATGCTATTTTAGTTACCTTGTCTATGGCGAGTTGTTCTGTAACTAAATTATACGCCGACCACACTTCAATCGCAGTTCAACTGACGCGTGCAGTTGTCCTGTCGCATCGATAGTTACTTGTGGGTCGAAAAGCATTAACCATGGTGTTTTAGTTACCTTGTATACTGCGAGTTGCTCTGTAACTAAACTATACATCGACCACACTTCGATCGCAGTTCAACTGACGCGTGCAGTTGTCCTGTCGCATCAAAAATTAGTTGTGTGTCGAAGAGCATTAACCATGTTGTGCGTTCGTGATAAACAACTCGTCTCGTCCGTGCATCTGGTCGAATGTTCTATTGTCACTACAGGGGTGAGGAACTTGGTACATTCGACGTGAAAGAGGTCACTTCCTGATTACTTTCCCAACCCTCCTTCCAGTGTTCCGTCGAATTCTACCCATTTGTACGACTGAAAACAGACTAAAACATGGGTTTTTCAGATTAAAAACGATGTTTTATTGGTCTGTTTTCAGTCGTATGTTCCCACCCAGCCATCCCTACTGGGAAGTAATCCAGTCCAGTCCTGCTTGATGGCTTATTCTTCGAGATTTGTGACATGTCATAGGGAGGTGCGTGCGCGACCGGACAGAAACAAGTTTAATGTTTACATTCCAGCTTCTGGCTTCCTTTTAAACGTGCGACTAGACAGGAGGGTATGAGAGATACTCATTTGTACGACTGAAAACAGACCAATAAAACATCATTTTTAATCTGAAAAACCCATTTTTTTAAAAATCCCAAACTATCAAAAGGCACCAGCTCACCACTAGACCTATCTATGTGCCAAGTATGACGAAGAAATATGGTACGGTTTTCAAGATCTGCTCCGGAAACAAGGACTACAGCCATTTTCAGTCTAAATCATAGTCGTTGCCATGGAAACTAAATAAATATTGTTTTTAAAAATCCCAAACTATCAAAAGGCACCAGTTCACCATTAGATCTATCAATGTGCCAAGTTTGGTGAAGAAATATGGTGCAGTTTTCAAGATCTGCTCCGGAAACGAGGACTACCGCCATTTTCAGTCTAAATCCATGTCGTTTCCATGGAAACTCGAAAAAATATTGTTTTTAAATCTCCCAAACTATCAAAAGGCACCAGTTCACCACTAGACCTATCTATGTGCCAAGTATGACGAAGAAATATGGTACGGTTTTCAAGATGTGCTCCGGAAGATCTGCCATTTTCAGTCTAAATCAATGTCATTGCCATGGAAACTCGAAAAAAAATTTTTTTTTAAATCCCAAACTATCAAAAGGCACAAGTTCACCACCAGATCTATCTATGTGCCAAGTTTGGTGAAGAAATATGGTACGGTTTTCAAGATCTGCTCCGGAAACGAGGACTACCGCCATTTTCAGTCTAAATCAAAGTCGTTGCCATGGAAACTCGAAAAATAATTTTTTTTTAAATCCCAAACTATCAAAAGGCACCAGTTCACCACTAGACCTATCTATGTTCCAAGTATGTTGGAACATGGGCAACAGAACCAGTAATACTTTCTTAGTGCAAATCTACTAGACACTGACATTTGCACATTCACTGATAACAGATGGCTGACATATTCAAGCAGGCAGATAAACACAGACACACAAAACACTGGCAGAGGCATATATCTAAATCATGTTGGTGGATCACATTATGAAGTGGTTGTTTGTGTGACCACAGTTGATGCCTTGAGAAACTTGTGTACAGGCAAATATCGTGAATATTGAATATCAGTGCTTGTACAAGGAGAAACTGCTAGAAACATGCCAGATTTGCTACAGACTGATAACACCCTATCAAAAACAGACGTGCTTCAGATACTATTCTCAGATCAATGAATGAGGGACAAGCTGATGTTTTCTATAAAATAAGACAATGGTATTTGTATAAAAAGAAAAGTTAAAAATGCATTTAACCTACTTCTGACTGCTAATCCTCATTCAAAATTATCCAGATGATATCTCTGTACTTTTGGTAGCTCCAACTGGTATTGCAGCATTTAACATTCATGCATCCACAATACACAGGGCACTGTCCTTTGGAATTGATGCAAAACTGCCTCACCAGCCACTTGGTGAGGAAAAGATCAATAGTCTGCAAGTAAAGCTGCATAGTATTCATATTCTTATCTACAATGCAAAAATCAATGGTTGATCACAAGCTGTTATCATACATTCATGGTAGACTGAGACAAATCAAACAAACTGACTATTCCCCATTTGGAAATGTATCTGTAATTGGTGTTGGGGACTTGTTTCAGTTAACACCATTATATGTTGGGAGAAATGGATATGACACATGGAATGATCATTTTTCTATTGCAGCATTGACCAAGATCATGAGACAAAAAGACCCTGCATTTGCACAATTGTTGCATTAATTATACAAACATAGAAAAGGTCAGAGCTTCTTGAAACATGTGATATAGATATGCTCAAACAACAAGAAACTGGTGAAGATGATCCAGATTGCATTCACATTTTTGCAACAAATGCTCAAGTTGATGAATTCAGTATCACTGCTCTACATTCTAAATGCTCAGATCCAATTTCCATTGAGGCATAAGATTACTCAAATTACTTTCAATTAACTTGCGTACAAACACGCATTCCCAATAAAGCATTTCAGCATGCATACAACAGAGCTAATTTCCGAAACACAATTACGAGCTTATTTACTTTCTGAGTCAAGCCTATACATAGAACTGTTACATACATCTAAAATATTATTTCATTTTTTTTCAAATCTTAATATGCTTACTCATTTTGGTAAAAAACCAATAGAGTGGTGAATAGATGAGTGAAAAGATATTGGTTACCCAATGAAAAATGTAATAACCCAATTAAAATAGAAACCTTCGAGGAAAACCACAATTGCTCAAAAAGTTATTGGGAGCTCTGCGACTAACAAATTAGTAGCACGGTAGCGATGAGACAATTGTTACAAATCCCACAAATCCCAGCCACGTGATGTGTAGCAAGAGATGCACCTACTTTTCAAAAGGTACAATATATCCAACAATTCATCAGTATGAACATCAAAGCCATTGAATATGTAACCCACAATATTAGTTTGTAAACACAGATACACAGAAAAAAGTGAAAGCCTAAAATTTATCGTATTACGTCCATTTTTGTCTCGCACCACAACAAGCTGAATATGCCTGTCCAATGGGCTGGGAAATGCGAGCGCCACCTAACTTGTGACATGGGTCAAATAGAGTAACCTCCCCTAGCAATGACCAGTTAACAGGTTGTGTGAAGCTGGAAGCACAGGTCTAATGTGCATCTTCCTTTCGGGTGCTCATCAAAGGGGACCAGCACCCAAACGAGCGTATTTAGTCGTTGAAAAGAAGACTGTACGTCAAAACAAACCTGTGAATTATCACATTGTTAAAAAATAGCATGGTTTAATCATTCGCAAAGTATTCATCAAATGTATACAAATTAGAACTACATCAGTAAATTTATATTTTCACTTGTCTTGGCATTTGATTAACATACACTTTTTACCTCCTGACAGCT